AGAGTTACCGTAAAACGGTGAGAGCGGACGATGTTTAAAGGGCGGCAGTCGTCGCGCCGCGTCCTGTTCGATATGGGACTCATAGCGACGTATACAACGCGTGTAAAATACATTGTTTATTTACATGAAATTCGAACACGCGCTGCGCGACGACCACCGCGCTTTAAGATACACCTGATATTCAACAGCTATATTGCTCAACTCCATAGCTTTAATTCTCAACATCAATTTTTAATTGGAAATTTAGTAATTGATCTGAACTTTCTTACGGATGGTACTCCTTTAAAAATGGGTGTTCAATGTGTGAAAATGACCTTGTTTCGTCTTAAATTATTACCAATGTTTTTACCCTAACAGTCATTCAAACCCTGTTCGGTTTTATTACAATTATGTAATTTGTGTACTTGAGTATACTACTCAAATGAAATAGAATAATGCTTTATGACATCCATGAAATCTGACATTTAATTTTTTGGTATTTGCTGTATTAAAGCTTTTTAAATTAAAATAATCATACAATACAATAATAAATATTTAAAAAAATGCAACTTAATCACAATCAAATATCAATTAGTCACACCACACTATGCTTTAAAAATTCACATTTTAAAAACATGTGAATTCACCCCTGTTCGACGGGGAGTGCTGTGTGGTTGAACGGGCGACCCAGGTGATACAATATAATAGCAACTACTGCATACAAATATTCTCTAGTTCAACATTGTCCACCGTATTTGTACTCGACCTGTAAAGCTACAACATTGTTTGAATTCACCTTGGTTACGTTAACGATCCACTGATGTGAAAGGGGTCACAGTGGATCACGGTAAGATAGAATAGAAAGACCAATGGATCTTAATAATACAAGTCATCACGCTGGAGTCTCAAGTGTAAAGGAAGACATCTCAACGAACATGTCGGGCGGCAGTGTATATATACATGCGCACAACTGTCACATAGGAACCACGTGAATCAGTTACCATGGAAAATCGTGAATACTGTGTGGTTGCAATTCGGACATTTCGAGTCGTTTGACGGTTGCCTATCTAATACTACTACTGCAGACATTTCTATACAATGTTACTAAAATCATAATAATAGACACAAGATAGTAACATCGCTTGCAGACCCCAAAACAGATATCACAAAAGTCCATCACCCATTGCAGACGTGTTGTATTATAAAATGATGATACGGACCATCTTACCATTCCCTGGGTTCATTGCGCTCAGTGCTCGTGGGAAATACTCCTAAATAAACAGCAACGTATTAACAATGGAGAATCAGGTCTGTTACATCGTGTATTCAGATACATACACATATATATATATGTATGGTGTATGGGCCAATTCCTGTGTTTGAGAAATGGTGTTCTCAGCCAGCCTTCACCATAATAGTGAGGACACAGTGCGGTTAAGTGCAGCTTCAGCTTATGGTGCATACATTAACATTAGTAAACACAACGCAAGTTATATATTTGCGTGTTTACGTCATTCTAACACAGAAGTCTTGCTTATGCGGAAGTTAGTTTTAGATATACATACTCCACCGATAAAAATATCAGGCTACTTGTACAAATGTATACATGCAGACTGCAATCGACCTTTTAGCAGAAATCAACAACACCAGTGACACTTTACCTAATTTGAACCTAACAGAACAGGATATCTGTAACGCTATATTTTCGTCGGAGTGCGGTGACTTACCGATTCAACAGAGGCGAGTCGAAGCACACGAATCGTACCATTGCCATGACAACTTTAATAAGACCTTCCACTATGTGGGGGGTGAAAGTCCAATCCAATGGATCAATGATTGACCAAGTCTCGTTTATAATGATATAGTGATATGCTTATCGTCGAACCGGAGTTTAAACAAGTTTGCGTTGTTTTTCAATCTCGTATCAAGTAAACCAAACTACCATCAATCCCGACTGTGTTCATTGTGCAATCTTCTCGCTTCGATTGGTTGTTAAAATCACGTGTTTTTCTTGTTACTTTAAACCACCTTCTAGGTGGTAAATATTGGTAATAGTAGAAAACAGCGTTTACTAGTGATGTTATCTTTATGTTACTGTGTGTTTGTACCAGTGTACGATATGGTCTGATCACGTTGTCCGGGACTGCACTGTAAACTATTTTCCCTGTTTACTTTTCACAACACGAAATTAATCACACCCACGTCTTGAATGTTGCATTTACTCCCCAAGGGTGCTCAAACACAATTGACAGGACGCGGACTGTCCTACTGGAGTCGTGCCAAAACAAAGGGAAGTCACGTACATTTAGGTGGGCCTAGTAAGGAAAGTCACGAATATCGATCAGTATACGATGACATATGTGTGAATTCTTAGAGCTATTCCAGCCTCCACGACGACCGATAAACCAACTCCAAAATAAACACATTATTTAGAGTAACAAACACGGACGACCTTTGCCCGCGGTTTGCTTGGATCTCGGCATCTGATAGAACAACCCAGTGCAAGGCACTATGGGAATTCAAAACATATCCACATATCGTTTTAAGTAGAGTTTGGATTTCAAGAAACATTAATAACAGCAGCGATCCAAGCTTGAATCAAAACATTTCACGAGCACTCGTCCTATTTAGGTTTTTCATAAAACATCACGGCAGCGCTGCTATTTGCCAGGAAACTTTCAGACTCACGAACATTTTACAATAATATCATGATGAAGATAATATATTATATTCAATGTGTTTATTGATTTACAAAAACATAATTTGAATTATATCAATTAAAATAATATTTAAAAATAATGAAAAAAAAAAACATTCGAAAAAATTAACATGTAGACTCAGAGATAGGGAAAAATCACATCGTGTAGTCTACTAAGATTGACAACGAAAAACAAATACCATTCATGTCAAAATAGCGTACAGCCTACTAGTTTAGAACAAGAATATCTCACT